CATTTGGACATGAAGACTTGAAGTCAGTAGGAAAAGTCTATCTGCTTGGAGCAATGTTTGTAAAGCCAAAAATTAAGGTGGTTTAGCCATTATTAATCTAGCTACGTGGAATTCTTTGAATTTATTGAGACGTCTCTGGAATATCTGTAGAAAAGATAATAACATGTGGGTCAAATGGGTCAGCACATGTTATCTAAAGGGTGAAAATGCTTTGCAGATGGGAGACAAAGAAAACTGCACATGGATGCTTAAGGGTATTCTAAACCAAAGAAATATCATTGATAAAGTTCAGAACCATTGGGATGAAACCTTACACAAGCAGAGGTTTTCCATGAAATTTTTATATGCTGCTTTGAATGATGATCACCATAAAGTCCCTTGGAGGAAAATATTCTACTGCAATAAGGCTAGACCTAGAGCCTGCTTAATTCTTTGGCTAGCCTGCCATAGAAAGCTTGATACCAAAGATAGGTTAAAAATATTTGGCATTATTTAGTAGAGTATCTGCAACATTTGCAAGGAGGAAGATGAGTCGATTTACCACCTATTTTTTTGCTGCAAGACCACTAAGAGAATCTGGTGTTCTATGCTCGAGTGGATGGAGATTAAGCATAACCCGAAGGGGTGGTGTGATGAGATCAATTGGATTATTGAGAGAACCAAAGGCAAAGGCTGGAAAACAGCTTTGATGAAAATGGCTATTGTAGAAACTGTTTACTGTATATGAAACTATAAGAACTCGATCTATTTTGATCCAATTGTTGATATTACAAATATAGAAAAAACATAATAGATAGTGTGGTTTACAGGGGATAGACAAATAAAAAGTTTAGAGGTCACATAGCTAAGCTCATAATGTAAGTGACCTAGATTTATTTGTTTGGGTTAGTTAATTACCTTGTTTCTCATTATTTTTTGAATTAATATATATTCCTTTGATTAAAAAAAAGTCACGCAAGTATTTGAAACCTAAAAGCTACTTACAATAAACTATGCACTCCCCAAAAGTATGTAGTCGCATTTTACATCAAATATGACAAATATTATCAATAGGAAATAATGTAATCTTGAGGAAGTACCTAAGCATAGTATGATATTATAGTGGTGACATATGCTTAGCCTAACATATCAATGGGAATAATTAGAAGAAAATTATAAGCATGTGCTTCTTACAAACACCTAAAATCAACTTTCTCTCTTGTGCTCATGTCAAATTTTACTTTCTATGTCCTGAACAATTTTACTAAAAAAAGAGTCTCTAAAACATGTTAAGATTTAAGGAGGTGATGTTCTTGCTAGTAAAATTATTAAGGTCAAAATTTGAAATAGTACAACTAAGATTATCCAAAGATTTATCGAAGTCAAAGCTCATACTACATATCTTAATTTCTCCCAATATATGATATTGAAACACCCAAGATTTGCTCTGAAAGCTACAAAAGTGTAGGAGGAGGTCTCTACTATGGAATACAAACCCAACCCCAACCTTAATAGATACATAAGTCATCCTCAATTGAAGATTCCTGAAGAAAGGATCACTATCAACCATAATATCTTCAACTGTCCCTCGCAATTCGTTATCAAGAATCGACTAACACATCCTTAAGCTAAAAAAGTAGTTTGGTGATACACATGCAAGATTTATGATATAATATGTATTTATATTTGTATATAAGTGCCACATCGACTATATCATGTAATGGACTGTAAATTTCTCTATATATAAAATAGTCTTCGTAATGCTATTCTCACACGGTTGATCTCAATATCTCTCAATATTTCACATGGTATCAGTTGAGGTAACGATCCAAACCTAATCAAAGTCGCTGCAATAGCTCTTCCTCCACCACCACCGCCGCCATAATAGCTCTTCTTCTAGCACCTCTACCGCTGTTGTAGCTCCTCCTCCAGCACCATTGTCGCTGTCGTAGCTTCTCATCTAGCACTTCCACCACCATCGTAGCTCTTCCTCATCCACCACCGCCGCGACTGTAGCTTTTCTTCCATCACTACTGTCACCGTCGTAACTCTTCTTCCAGTACCACCGCCATAGTTCCTCTTTCAACATCACCAATGTCGTTGTAACTCCTCCTCCAACACCACCACCGTTGTTGTAGCTCCTCCTCCAACATTGCCACCACCACCGTAGCTCCTCCTCCAGCATCGCTTCTACTGCAACCCCTCCTTATACTCTGACGCCGCTTCTGCCGCGCCACCCATCACTGCATTCACCAACTGTCGCGCCTCCCTGCCCCTTATTGCACCACATCTCTCTCTATCAATCATTATGTCTTCCTCTTCCGCATTCTTTATGTTCCTTCATGATACTAGATTATTGATATCTTCACCAAAGGCCTCCCTAGAGTTCTCTTTGATGATTTTTGGACTAGTCTAAGCGTCCGTCAACCTCCCGTTTCGACGCGGGGGTGTGATAGAATATGCATTTATATTTGTATATAAGTCTCACACTGATTATATCATGTAATAACTGTAAATCTCTTTATATATAAAATAGTCTCTATAGTGCTATTCTCACATAATTGATCTCAATATCTCTTAATATCTTACAATCTAATTAAAAAGAAATGCACTTAAAAGATCACTTAATTATGAAAGAAAGTGCATGACCACAATCCTAATTACTCTTTACACGGGCATCTCCTCGATAAGACATTTATCTTTACTACAACCATTTCACGTCGTTTCTTCCACACGATGTTATTGTCATCAGATCAAGCACAAACAATCTTAATTTTACGAATATTCAATTTAATACCCAATCACGTGCAGTCTAGTGGCTGCATAATTTGTTAATTCAAAGGTACAATCTCGTTGTCTGACCCATAAAATAATAGATTAACATCTCATTCTTACCTCGTGCAGTAGTGTCACCCGATCTACTATATTAAAAGCATTTGAGAATTCTATTGTGAGCTTATTAAAAAAACAATGGTTACAAATGATTTATTCCAAAACAAAATTATTAAGATATTTTGCTATATCTAAATACACACTCTACCTTTTTTAAAAACAAAATTTTACATTTTAATTTAATTAAGTAATTGATGTTTTAGTGTATACATAAATTAAATATATCAATTAGCTATAAATATATCAATTAGCTAATGAACTTAAGAAATAAATTTATATTTATAATAAAAAGGGAAGGAGCTATAGTTCCTATCTCATATCTACTCCGAGTTACCAATGAGTTTTTCTAGTATTCCATTATATATTTCCCTCAATAATTATTTTCTTCTAATGAGCCTTTTTTTTAAGTGTTTAGTCTTCTTATTCCTTTCTTCTTAACGAAGTTTTATACATCTCATAATGTATTAGTGATATATTTCAAAACTCATCATAGCATGTGTTACTTTCCATGTCTTCAACAAGAAATGAAATTCAATATTATTCATGCTCACATTAAACATGTATGACTTTATGAGACGATAAATAAATGAAACTTTAGACTTTTCTTTTCTCTGGCCACCGGTAGTTTCCGGTCACTAATTGAACTATTCTGTTTGCTTCCCTTCAAACCAATACTATGGGTTTCTCAATGGATACATAAACTCATTGGGTCATCGATTTGAATTATATGATACATGTATTCTTTTAAAGAAAAATGTTACTGGTTATAGAAATAAGCATAAGAATTTTATTTTAAAGTTTGTTATATTCAAAATTTTAAATTATTATTTCCTTCAAAATTAAGAAAATCAAAAAGTTATTTTGTATTTACCTAAGAAAATGAAAATTAATTTTCTTAAAAAAAATAAGTAAAAAATATATATATTTTCAAAAAACTACTAAAAACATTTTTTTCCATCCATAAGAGTTTTAGATTCTGATTTTTTTGACAAAATCTTTAACAAACATATTTATGTTTTGACTTAAATTATTAATGAAATTAATTAGCATATTTTAAAATTAAATTAGTTCGGTCTTTTTCTATTATTGTTATATTTAAAATTAATATACATCCACTTTTAAATAATGTGTGAAGTTGATGTTTATGGTTTAGTCTTTCTTTATTATTTTTTACTTAAAATTGAAATTTAATTGTATGTTCATTTTATATAACACGTTAAAGTGATAAATTATCATATAATTTTTTTTGTAAAATTTAAAAAATAAAAAAAATATATACACATCATTAAAATATAATGATATAATAAATTTCAACGTAAAAGACAAAAAAAAAAAACTACTTGTAAATATATATTTTTTAAAAATACATACAATTAAAAATTGTACATACATCAATTTTGAATAAAAAGTATGAAAAAAAATTCAAAATAGTTTAAATTTAAAATAAAAAGATTAATATCATAAATTAGATAAAATATAGATAAAAGGTATAATTAACCCTTAAATTTTTAAAAGTGACTATTTTTATTTTTAAGTATTTTAAAGACACGTTTTACAAAATAGAAAATAATAATGTTTTACATCTTATTAAAATTGATGTATCCAATATTTTATTTCTAATTTCTTAACACATGCCTTCTAAGACTTTTGTTAAGATTGTTTTTCATAAAAATAGTAGGTTGGATTAGATCAAAACTATGTCCAGTTTCAATGTTTTTTAAATTATTTTACAGAATAATTTAAATTTTAACAATGTATGACTATCCATAGATTACTATTAGTGTCATTATTATTCTTTGAGTGAAGAGATATTGTGATCTATAGCGTCTAATATGTTCCACCGCTTAGGGAAGACCGGGGGCGTTAAAATACAAAATGCGGTGATTTTCCTTCCGTGACAAACCAATCAACTCGCCTATAGTTTCGCCACGTCATCGTATATTCCTTACGTGGCAAATAAAACACAACCCACGAGTCTGTCACCATGGATCCAAAGATAAGAACACGGTAACGTACAAAACCCCCCACTAACTTTAACTGCAATAAAATTGAGTCATTTTTAACCTAACCACAGTTACTAAAAACCAAACCATGGTTAAATTTCCCATTTATAAAGACAAACACTAACCATGAATGAGATGGTGCAAAGTAAATATTTATCTTTATCCAAATCCAAATCAAAAATTTCTTCCATCACCATGTCGATGATGATGTGGGGGGAACCGCCCCATCGTACAAATCCAACCGTCCACGTGGCACCGGCACCATGGCCGGTGATGAACAATCCAACGGCGGAGATTTTTTCTGATGATTATTCTCAGTTTTATTTCGATGAAGCGCTGAGTGCTCTTCAACAATATGTTCCGTCATCCATGGAAGAAGAAGACGATTCTGACTCGGAGATTTTTCCGAGTCATGACTCGGTGGATGCGTATACGAATGACCATTTTCGTATGTTTGAGTTCAAGATTCGGAGATGTGCACGTGGTCGGTCACATGACTGGACCGAGTGTCCTTTCGCTCATCCCGGCGAGAAAGCTCGCCGGCGTGACCCGAGGAGGGTTCCGTACTCCGGGACTTCGTGTCCGGAGTTTCGGAAAGGAAGTTGCAAGAAAGGCGATTCGTGTGAGTTTGCTCATGGGGTTTTTGAGTGCTGGCTTCATCCTTCTCGTTACCGGACTCAGCCATGCAAAGACGGAACCAGTTGCCGGCGGCGTGTTTGTTTCTTTGCTCACACGGCTGAGCAACTCAGGGCTCCGACGAATCTACAGAGTCCATTGAGTATGAACTCTGTTGAGTCGTACGACGGTTCGCCTCTCCGGCTTGCCATTGAATCCTCCTGTGTTAAAAAGCTTCGGTTCATGTCTCCTACCGGTTCTGTTTCGCCGCCGGCGGAGTCTCCTCCGTCATTGGGAAGGTCACCGGGTTCTGTGAATGAGATGGTGGCTTCGCTGCGAAATTTGCATCTTGGGAAGATGAAATCTTTACCTTCCTCATGGAATGTTCAAATGGGTTCGTGTTCGGGTTCTCCTCGATTCGGATCTCCAAGAGGACCCATGCTCCGACCCGGATTCTGTAGCTTACCAACGACGCCGACACAGCCACCGTCTCGCGGTGGCGGGGTAAACCATTTTGATCTTTGGGATCAGAGCTGTGAAGAGGAGCCTGTGATGGAGAGAGTGGAGTCTGGTAGGGATATACGGGTCAAGATGTTTGAGAAACTGAGCAAAGAGAATTCTTTTAATGGATCCGGGTCTGGTAAGGTTGATGGGGCTCCGGATATTGGATGGGTTTCGGAGCTTGTGTGACTGATGTTGATGTTGATTTCATTTGGAGTCGTCTGTGGTTTAACTTTTGGACAAGATTTAATGTTGGAAAATTGTATTCTTGTAAATATGTCTTTTTCTCAAGGTTTTGGGGTTGAAGGAAAATTAAGTGAAAATATTTAAGCCATTTTTTTTGGAAGGTTTTCAGGAAATCCAGACGACCTACAATTTAATTTCAAGGTTTTCTTGTATTTATGTAATTCAATTAAAAATTATGCTAAGTTTAGGTTTTTTGTTTGTATATGAGTTGAAATTTCTTATGTTCGTAGGATCCAATCTCAATGTGTTGAATTATATAAATTATATATGCAAATCTATATAATATATGCTTTGATTAGAAAATGAATTATTAGAATCTTAAGGAGAATTGGACTCTTCATTTGTCTTTTTAATGATAATATTATAAGCATGTTGTTAGTCGTGTATTGTATTAGACAAAATGTGATTTACAATGTTGTTTTTTTTGTCTACATGGAGCATAATTAAATTAAATTATGATACAAAGAATCTATCTGTGAAATGGATGGGGATGAAAACTGAAATAGGGATGGGATGAGTGTGAGTCACAAGGAATAATCCAGATGTCAACAAATCTGAGAAACAGCTAGCTTTTGGCAGTGACTTGGATTCTACCCTAGTGGTGAGTACTAAGTGCTATCACTAGACGAGACAAAAGATCATGTACGTTACTATTCTCACTTATGTCAAAAACAATTGTTTAAGGGTGTGTGTTTCCATTGGTTGGGGGGATAAAATTGATTTTAATAGAATTTGTTGGTGCAAAATTGAGTAAGAGGAGAGAAAATGATAAATGCTATAAAGCTGTCAATTATTGAAAGATGATTGATTGTATTAAATGAAATCTAGTACAGTTATTTAAACATAAAAAACACAAAAATAATAAACATAAAAATATCACATAAGTTCTAAAAGATAATATTATTCAAAAATGATAAATATTAAATTATCCTCTAATACCATCCTGTAATTTAATAATTATCAGAAATTAACAACACCAATTTTATTTCTCAAATGAAAAAATTGGTCTGTTTTTATTGTTTTCGTCAGAACATCTGTCAGCTGCTTCTGAGTGCTACAGTGCAGAATTTATAACACTCCCTTCTGCATTTGATTTCTCAGAAAATGATACTTCGTCTCAACATTCTTGCTTCTTTCATGCAGCACTGGATTCTTGGCAAGATTGATTGCAGATTTGTTATCAATTAACAGTTTCAGAGATTTCTCTATCTCAATCTTCAAATCCTCCAGAAGATTCAGAAGTCAAACAGTTTAACATGCAGCTACATCACCTGCAATGTATTCAGCTTCACATGTTGATAAAGCCACAACAGACTGTTTCTTGAAACTCCAAGAAATTTGACCTCCTAGAAACTTGAACAAATAATCAGAAGTACTTCTTGTGTCAACTCTGTCTCCACACCAGTCAGAATCAGAATAACTCACTAATTATGGTTCTGTCTGTCTTCCAGAAGGAAATAGCACTCCGTATTTCAGAGTTCCTTTGATATATCTCAGAATCCTGACAGCAGCTTTATAATGAGACCACTTTAGTTTACTCATGAATCTGCTAACCATTCTAACTACATAACAAATGTCAGGTCTGATATTGCACAAGTACCTAAGAGAACCAACCAGCTGCTTGAAGGTTGTATCATCCACAAAATCACCATCAGAATCAGAATCCAATTTATGATTGGTTTCTGATGGTGTCACAACAACTTTGTAATTCTGCAGCTTAAATCTCTTCAGAAGTTCAAGTTCATACTTCAGCTGATGTAGAATGATACCCTTCTTTGAGTACATAATCTCCACTCCTAAAAAATATACCATATTTTTCAGATCTGTCATCTCGAATTCATTCATCAGAACTTCTTTGAACTTGATTATATCTTCTGGACAACTTCCTGTTAGCAATATGTCATCAACACATAGACACACCAGAATCATATTGCCACCAGAATGCGGCACATACACGCCATATTCCATCTTACATTTCTGAAACTTCTGCCTCTTGAAAAACGAATCAATTTTCAGATTTCAAGCTCTAGACGCTTGTTTCAGTCCACACAAGGCTTTATACAATTTGTATACCATCCCTTTCTGATTCTTTTTCACAAATCTAGGAGGTTGTGACACATATACATCTTCTTGTAACATACCATTCAGAAATGTAGATTTCACATCCAGATGTATCAAAGGCCAATTTCTGTTTGCAGCTAAAGCAATCACTAGTCTGATTATTTCGTGTTTAGCTACAGGCGCAAACACCTCAAAGTAATCTAGCTCAGGTTTCTAAAGAAAACCTCTAGCCACTAGTCTCGCTTTGTGTTTGTCAATTGATCCATCTAGCTTAAGCTTCACCTTGAAAACTCATCTGACGCTGATGACTTTCTTCTTTTCTGGAAGCTTCGTCAGCTTCCAAGTTTTGTTTCTTTCAATAGCCTCAAGTTCTCCCTTAATGGCATTCAACCATACTTTCTTCTTGAGAGCTTCTTCAATACCCACTGGTTCAAAATCTACTAACATGGCACACTGAACGACTTCTCCTTCAGAATCTACTTCAGTATCATACAACATGCTAAAATCTGCAAACCTACTTGGTATTTGTCTGATTCTCTGTGGCCTCTGAACTTGTTCTGAAGCTTCTCCAGAACTCGGAACAATGCTAGCTTTTGGACCTTGTCTAGAACTACTTCTTTCAGAATTACCACCTTCACAGTTACTTTTAGAAGCTTGTCCTCCAGACCCTATGTCTTCAGAGTTTTCCCTTCTAGAAAAATAATCACCACCAGATTCTGGATCATCATCAGAATCTGGATTAGAATCAGATTCATTATCAGAATCTCCCTGAGATTTTGACTCATCTTCTGACTCTGACTCGTCTTCAGAACTTTATGAAGAATCTTCAGAAACTAACTCTGGTGTTGGGGCTACACCAGAATCTGATTGAAGCTTGTTCCAATCCCATGTTTCTGACTCTTTCACAATAACGTCTCTGCCAATTTCAATTTTGTTGGTTTCTGGACAATAAAGCTTATAGGAATCTGTACTGTGGTACCCCACCAGTAACATTACTTTGCTTCTATCATCCAGTTTCTGTCTTCTAGCTTCTGGAACGTGTTTGTAGCATACAAAACCAAACACCCTCAGATGGCTAACACTTTGCTTGTCTCCAGTCCACTTTTCTAAAGGAACAATTTCCTTCAGCTTCTTTGTTGGACACCTATTCAGAACATATGCTGACGTGGCAACAACTTCTCCCCATAACATGTGAGGTAGCTTATTCTCTTTCAGCATACTTCTGGTCATATCAAGCAAAGTTTTGTTTCTTCTTTCAGCAAGACCATTGTGTTGAGGAGTATATGGAGCAGTAACCTTATGTTCTATTCCATTCTCCTCACAGAACTTCTAGAAATCTATAGAGTTATACTCACCTTCACCATCTGTTCTCAGAATCTTCAACTTCTGACCACTCTGCTTCTCAGCCTTCACCTTAAACTTCTGGAACTCAGTAAACACTTCATGCTTTAACTTGATAAGTGTTACCCATGTCATTCTTGTGAACTCATCCACAAAAGACATAAAATATTTGTTTCCTCCAAGTGAAGATACTGGAAATGGTCCACACACATCAGAATGTACTACTCTCAAAGCATGCTTCGCCCTGGGGGCTACTTCTGATGCAAATGGCAATCTGGATTGCTTGCCTTTCATGCACATCTCGCATGACTTCCGAGGCTTCACAATCTTCAAAATTCCATGTACAAGCTTTTTAGAACTTAGATGCCCTAAGCTTCTATAGTTCAAGTGCCCCAACCTCTTGTGCCACAGATTACTGTCACCTTCAGCGCCTTCTGCACTAAGACACTCTACTTCAGCTGTTTCTACATTCACCTTGAATGTTCTGTGGCTTCCCTACTCAGACTTCATAATAAACTTCTGATTAGAATCATATAACTTCAAGAGGATGTGCTTCATAACAACTGAGAACCTTTCTCAATGAGCTGACCCACACTCATCAGATTGCTTTTGACTCCAGGAACATACCAAACATCTTTGATCATAATGTTTTTTCCATTGTTCATTCTGACTCTGACATTTCTCATACCTTCTACATTAAGATACTTATCATCAGCACATCTGATCTTTGTTCTCCTTCTGGAGTCAAAGTCTATCAGCCATTGTTTGTTTCCAGTCAAGTGGTTTGAACAACCAGTGTCCATATACCACCAATCTTCTGAACACTTTCCATTAGAATCAAAAACCATCAGTAGCACAGATTCATCATCAGAATCTCCTCTGGCTATATTTGCTTCTTCTGATTTCCTTCCTTTGTTTCTATAATCTCTGGCAAAATGGCCAAATTGTTTACAACAGTAACATTGAACCTTCTTCTTGTCATACCTTTCATTTCCCTTCTGATATTTCTTTTCATCAGAAGTTGAGGTTTATGACTTCTGGAATTTATCATCACGTTTATTCTGCTTCTGGTCCTTCTTGACAAAAGAAGCCTTCAGAGCTTGCTCCACTTCCCTCTCAGAAGTTCTTTCAGTCAAACGCAACTCCTGCGCTTCTAGACTGCTTTGCAACTCTTCTATTACCATGGTTTCCAGATTTTTAAAATGTTCAATAGAAACAACAATGTAATCAAACTGAGGAGTAAGTGACCTCAGAATCTTCTCTATGATTACCTGTTCAGAAAGTGTTTCTCTACAAGTTTTCATCCCATTAGTGATCAGAATCATTCTGGAGATATACTCAAACTTTCTCACTATTCTTCATGTTGAGATTCTCATATTGCTTACGCAGGGACTGAAGCTTCACTTTCTTCACTGATGCATCACCATCGTAACATCTGACCAGTATATCCCATGCCTCTTTCAAAGTCGTCGAATCAACAATCTTCTCAAACACACTTTCATCCACACACTGATGGATATAGAATAAAGTTTTATGATCCC